TGCTGATTCTCAGTATGTTGATTCATTCCTGCATTTCTGGGTTTGAGCCTACTTGATCAGTGCTTTTAACTGCTGGGCCATCTATCCAGCCTACCACTGAATGCTTTTAAAAAGAGGGTGACACGATCTTATTAGGACTAATTTTGTTGCTTTGGGTACAGTGGAAGAGTAGAATAAATGAAAGCATGTAAATGGAACTGTAAGACAGAAAAATTAGAAGGTACTTAAAATCCAAGAGACAGATAACTGTGATTTGGGTGGGCTGAGGAAAAGTGACAATTTTATCTGTTCCCCTATTTTTTCAATTACAAGATATATTTTTATCAGACTTTTAAAATATGCATTTAAACATATTTTTAAAAATATGCACTCTAATAACACACTTTAAAAATATGCAGTACCCAAATTAGAAAATCTAAAGCGTGTCCTTATGATTCTCTGGAATTCCTCAGTGTCTGTTGCTGTTTCACGCTTTTTGTTTCTAATTTTATTAATTTGGATCTTCTCTTCCTACCTCTTAGTTAATTTAGCTAAGGGCTTATCAATGTTATTGATTTTCTCAGAGAACTCACTTTTTGTTTTATTGATTTGTTCGTTTCTTATGTTTTTGTTAGTTTGTTTCTATTGATTTCAGCATTGCGTTTGATTATTTCTTGCTCTTGGGTGTAGTTTTTTTGTTCTAGAACTTTCAGGTGTGTGATTAAATTGTTAATATGAGAACTCTCCAATTTTTGTATGTGGGTGTTTAGTGCTCTTTGAAACAACTTCATTGTATCCAATAGCTTTGACTATGTTGTAATTTTATTTTCAATCCATTCTAAAAAGTTTGTAATTTCTTTATTAATTTCTCCACACCCAGTTTTCATTAAGTAGTAAGGTTTTCAGTTTCCATGAGTTTGCAAACTTCATGTTTTTTTTCCCCACTGTTGTTGGTGCCCAGCTTTAAACCACAGTGGTGAAATAGGATGCAAGGGGTTATATCAATTTCTTGTATCTATTGAGATTTACTTTGTGTCTAACAATGTTCTTAATTTTGGACAAATTTCCATGAGGGCTGAGAAGAAGATATTTTCCTTTGAGTTTGGGTAAAATGGTCTGTAAATATCTGCTAGGTCCATCTGATTAATGACATCATTTAGGTACAGCATTTTTCTGTTGAATTTTTGTCTGGATACCTGTCTGTTGGGGAGAGTGAGTGCAAACGTTACCCACTATCACTATGTAAGCGTCAGTGTGTGATTGTAGCTGTTGTTGCATCTCTTTTATGAACATTGGTGCCCTTGTTTTTGGTACATAAATGTTTAGAATTGCAACATTAAATGTGTCTTCTGATTAGCTTTGAAGTCTATATTTGAAGATATTTAAAGGGCTACACTGGCTGGTTTCTTGCTCAACATAACATTTTTCTTTCTTCTCTCCTGAAATGTCTATCCTTGATGTTAAGGTGTGTTTCTTGGATGCAGGAGAAGGATGGGTCTTGTTTGCTCATGTAATTGGTTAGTCTGTTCTTTTTTTCTAGGGGATCAAGATCATTCATATTGATCGTTATCAATGAGCAGTGTTTGTTGATTCCTGTTATATTGTTGTTATGGTGTCACTTTGCTGTTTTTCTTCCTCCTTTGATTTATTGGTCTGTGATTATTTATTCCTTGTGTTTTCTTAGGTGTGTTTAACTCTTTTCAGATTGAAGTTTTTCTTCTAGCGCATTCTGTAGAGTTGGATTTGTATACAGAGACTACTTAAATTTGGTTTTATTAAGTGATGTTTATCTTTCCTCATCTTTTGTGACTGAAAGTCTGGACTGCATCTGTGATCTCTTAGTGTGTTAGAACATCTATGCAGTTCCTTCTGGCTTTTAGAGTCCCCACTGAGAAGTCAGATGTTATTCTAATGAGTCTTTAAACATTACTTGGTTTTTTTTCCCTTATAGGTTTTAACACTCTTTCTTTGGTCTGTATATTTAGTGTTTCTTTATTAAATGCGTGGAGAATTTCTTTTCTAGTCTATGTCATGTTCTGTATGCTTCTTGAAACTTGATATCCACCTCCATTACATTAGGAAGATGTAGATTTATTTTTAGTTTTTTTTGAGAATTTTCCACACTCACTTCCATGTCAGTTATATTATTGATATTGCCATTCTAACTAAGGCAAGACAAAATAAATTGTTTTGATTTGCATTTACCCAATTGATAGGAACAATAAAAATTCTTTGAAATATTTCTTAGCCATCTTGAAATATTTTTGAGAGCTCTGTTTAGATACATAGCACATTTTATTTTTGGGTCATTTGCTTCAAGTTTCTTTAGGTTTGTTTATTTTTTGGCTTGGATACACACAAATGTATGTGTGATATATATATATATATATATATATATATATATATATATATATATATATGACTTTCTCTGCACTCAATTATTTCCTTAGCTGTGCAGAAGCTTTTTAATGCTATGAGGTCCCACTTGTCAATTGTTGACTTCAATTTCTGAGTAAATAGAGTTCTACCTACTCATATCATATAGAGTACTACCTATGACTTTTTTTCTAGAAATTACAGCATTTGTGGCTTCACTTTGGGCTCTTTGCTCCACTTGGATCAAAGTTATCCTAAATAATTATGATAGCATAATAAATAGGGGTCCAATTTCCTTCCATACTTAGACATCCCATTTCTCAGCACCATTTGCTGAAGATAATTTCTTTTCTCCATTGTATATTTTTAGCATCTTTGTCAAATATCATATATTTGTAGAAACATGCACTCATGTTTGGGTCTCCTACTTTGTTCCATTGGTCTTAGCATCTGTTTATGCTGGTAAGATATATTTTTATTATTATAACTCTATAATATATTGTGAACTCTGAATGATCATCACTCTAGAAGGTTTCTTTTTGCTCACAATTGCTTTGTATTCCAAGGTGTTTTGTGGTTCTATATAAATTTTAGAATTTTTGTATATTTCTGTGAAGAATGTTGGGGATTTGGCCTGGGATTGCATTGTATATATTGTTTTTGGCAGAGTGATTGTCTTCACAACATTAAGTCTACCAATACATGAGGTTGGGAGGTCTTTCTACCATCTAGTGTCTTTCTCAATCTTTTTTCTTAGAGATGTTAAATGTTCTTGAATAGTTCTTTCACCTCTTTGCTTGGGTTTATTTCTAGATGTTTTATTTTCTTTGAAGCTATTGTGAATTGGGAGTGTGATCTCCTTTTTCATGTGTTTGTAGTTGACGCATAGAAAGACTACTGATATTTGCAAGATTATTGGTATCCTGCCACTTGGTTGAAACAGCTAATCATTTCCACAAGTTTTCTGATAGAATTTTTGAGATGTCTTATGTTTAATATCATATCATATGGAGATAATGGTAATTAGACTTCTTCTTTTCCTTCTTGTATCACTTTGATTCCTTGCCTTATTGCTTCAGGGATAGTGGAAAGCCTTGTTTGAGTCTCAATTTTAATAAGATTACTCTGCATGTTTCTCCATATATATATATATATATATATATATATATATATATATATATATATATATACACATGGGGAGAGAGAGAGAGAGAGAGGTTTGTAATGGGTGGAATGATGTAGAACTAGAACAATACAGAACAAGGAAGAACAAGAAGGAAAAATGAGAAATGATAGATTGAAGAGAAACGCATAAACAGAACCCGTTGTGAGTAGACTTCTTAACCCTCAGATTTTTAGCCCCCCTTTAGCTCAGCCTGGCTTCTTTAATTGAAGCCTGAATGGACACTTTAAAAGGTAGAACTTTTAAGACTCTTATTAATAGTCAGATACAGAGGAAGCAAGATGAGAATGCTTTCCTGAGAAAAGGCACCAAACCACATGACTAAACATATTTTAAAAATTATGGGTTTAGTTTAAGTTGTAAGAGCTAGTTAACAATAAGCATGAGCAACAGGTCAAACAGTTTATAATTAATATAAAACCTCTGTGTGTTTTTTGGGAATAAATGGCTGTGGGACTGGGTGGGATAAAAACTTCCACTTACAAATGGCATCCCACTCACCTGGTGGTGACGTGTCAGAGGAGCAGTAGCTGGCAGTTGACTTCAGGATATCAGCCCACCAGCTTGGAAGGCACTGATAGGTGAATCTCGGATAGGAAAGACCTTAAGAACCTTGACCCCAGAATGTCTCTTGCTACTGCTGTTTTGTTTTGTTTTGTTTTTTTTTTTTTTTTTTTTTCCCGAGACAGGGTTTCTCTGTGGTTTTGGAGCCTATCCTGGAACTAGCTCTTGTAGACTAGGCTGGTCTCGAACTCAGAGATCCGCCTGCCTCTGCCTCCCGAGTGCTGGGATTAAAGGCATGCGCCACCACTGCCCAGCGCTACTGCTGTTTTTATATGTTTGACACTGCCACTTTTCTTTGATATCTGGTATGGTGTGAATAGGTACTTTTGATGTGGTGTGATTATCATTCTACTTGGGCATTTTTTGCCTGTGGATTATAATGAAGATGATTTCCTCTTCAGCTACACTGTTTAAATGAAGCAATGATTTTAGACAATAATAGTGTGAGCTTAAATAGGACTTTGATGATTAAGTGTTTTTAATAAATATAATAAAGGATTATGGTAAGGTTAGTTCAGTGGAAAAACTAATATAGGTAAAAGCAGGATATGGTTTTACTCCTGCCTCTGAAAAAGCAGGGCTGCAGATGATAAAATGTAAGAACAAGGAAATGTCACAAAACTAGTTTCTCTTGAGGAGCTCTAAAGACTGTGAATTAGTGCGGCTCACGACACCAGTCTGTGCTCTATGTGCCGGCATACCGTTCGTGAACCGGGCAAGGGACTGAAGATTGAAACACACAAAGACTCACAGACAGCACAGACAGAGAGAGACACGGGTCATCCTTGAAGCAAGAATGCTCCAAGAATGCCCCCTTTATTGTGTCCAGGGGCAGCTTATATAGGGATAGCCACGCCCCAGCCAAACCCACCAGAAACCACTCTCCTGCCATCAGGAACTCCTGAGGGTCTCGTGCAGAGCAGCTGTAGGCACTCAGATAAGGGGAAAATAAGTTGTTTCAGGATGTGGGGGTTCACAGCTCCCAACAACTTAGGCTAATGATTAAGAAAAACAATTGTGTCCCAGAAGCTGAGTTAGTTCACATTTTTTTTTAAGTCTTAATTGTTAAGAATTGTGTTCATGAGTTTTGGTGTACATCATAGCTAAAACAAAGCTTTAAATATGACTGAAGGCTAGGTTAAGATGTTTTGTTAATGGATTTTAGCTAAAAAAAACAACTTGGAAACAATATAAAGTTCAGAAAGGCACAAGGTTGAGTAAGGGACTCGTTAAAGTCAGGGAACAAGAACAAGACATCCCAATTATTATTAGTTGACATGCCTTTCTTGTTAGGATGGTTTGATGATCAAAGATGATGATTAATTCTTTGTGCCTATTTCTGCACTCATATCTCTATCTATCTATCTATCTATCTATCTATCTATCTATCTATCTAGAGATAGATCTGTCAACAAATGGGTATGCAACCTGAGGATTTAAAGTAGGTTATAGAGAGCCCTGGAACTGGTTCTAAGTCACCTGATGTGGGTTCTTGTAACGAAACCTGACATTAATGTTTACCCAGCTCTTTGTCCTTTGTGACTCATGATCTACTTGCAGCAAGAATAAGACACACGTTTGTAACAGTGCATGTCCTTTATAAGAGAAACAGCAGTAAGAATGTCCACACGACACATTTCATGCATATGGTCTAGCCTTGTACAATGCTAATAATTCTTTTACATACATTCCACGGATTCCTTTACTAACATGTGGTTCCTTTACTAAAGGGCAAACAGTTCTAAAACACATTTTCATAGTTACATTGTTATTTATTTCACTCCTGTAGCATACACTGAATACTGGAAAACACTTGATGTTCCATTGTGGATTACTCAATATTACATATCCACTTCTATAAATTAAATTTTTTAGGAAAATCCACAGTTTAAAAAAATCATACAAGAATAAGCTAGCGTATCACAATCAACAGAGAATGAATCCAACAATTCCAAATAAGAAAATGTGTGGAACAGCTTCTCTTCACAGGAAACTCACTGTATGTGAATCCTACTTGGCTTCATTTAATTAAAAAGCTGAAAAAGAAAGGAAATTATTACACATTGAGCAAAAGAAACCAGCTACTCACTCCATTCTAAATCAGTGTACATAAATATAACAAAAACACCATCATTATCATCAGCCAAATGAAACTTTGCCATCAGGGTCTGATTGTGAAACGGGCTCCTGTAACGGGGTCAGGCTTACAGCGAGGACCGTGTCAGAGGTGACCCAGCATGTGCTAAGTGAGCATCAGTCAGATCAGCGTTGAAAATGCAGGTGTAGGGGAACTAAAGGGAACGGACCTAAATAATATCTGAGTTTGAATTTCCTGAAGAAATTTTACATTCTTACTGAATTTATAATTCATTTGTTTACATAAAATAGTAATTACTTGCAACATTGTATGTAAGCCACTTTTAAAAGAAATATTAAAAGCAAAAATGAAATTAATGGTTACTGAAGCAGAGGAGATGTTGGAAAACTGTTCAACCTAGTAAATTTAACATTTCAATATTTAAATTATATCCTGATATGTATGACTTTGTCTTTCTGAATCTCTTTACTTATCAGTGACGAGAACACTTGTGGATAATCTTAAGTTTTGTCTAATACTAATGATTTATATTAATGCTTAACTAAAACACATTGAAAATAACAATTATAATTATATAAAATATAATTTACATATAAAGGTTTTACAAGTGAAACATTATACACTGCTTTGATGTTATTTTATAATTTATGACTATATAAAGGCAACAAACGTAACTGTTTTTACAGAATTGTTACAGATAGAAATATGTGCCAATACCAGTATGCAATCATACACTGCTTTTGTTTGGGGCAGCTCCTGATAACTGTAGTAGACAAGCATCACCTCTGCAAGGAGGGTGATTGGTCATCCTTGTGGGTACAAGCTGCAGTTACTGCTGATTCCACACAAACCTCCACAGCAGCTGGCAAGGTGGAGGGGCGCTGTGTGCATGCACTCACTGGCACTCTCTGTCCTCAGTTACAAGCTTGTTCAAAGGGAAACGTCAACTTGAGGATGGCTAACAAAGAGAAACCTTTACCAAATACAGTGTGTATACAATACAGTAAATATGCGGGTGTATGCACAAGAGCATGTGGGGATAGAGGCTGGCGTCTTCTTCAGCATTCGCTGTCTCTTAGTTTATTGAGTAGAATCTCTCATTGAACCTGGAGACAATTAGCTCAACTGGCTAGCTCTGGGGATTTCTGTCTCTGCTCTTGGTGTGCTGGGTTTACAAGACACACTGCCATGTTCGGCTTTGTATGTGGGTGCAGCGCACACTCTGTCTTAGCCACAGAGTTTAGTTACAGTTGAACAAATGGGACCCTGAATCTGGGAACTGGTAAGTTAAGTGTTCTCTCTTTCCCTCTTTCTCCTCCCACCTATGGGTACAGAAGCCAGAGAACAGCCTTAGCATTCCACAGGCACTGTACACCTTTCTTGTTTTGTTCAATTGACCAGCATCTTTCACTGGGCTGTAACTTCCTTGTAACTAGGCTGGGTGAAGAACCTCACTGATTGCTTTTCTCTGCTATCCGGACCAACGCCTCTGCACAGCAGACTCTGGTCTTGCTGCCCACTTGACCTGCCAGAAATGGTCTCACAGATTTAGAAGCCTGTATATGTTGTGCACATATATACATGTAGTAAACACTCATACATATAAAATAAATCTTAAAAAAAGTTTCTTAGGAAAGTACCAGCTGTTATTCTCTGGGTGCTCACTCAGAATCTCATGCTTGGAATGCCCAAGATCTGTTTTAACATGAAAGCAGCATACTGAATGCATCACACTGGTATCAACAATCAATGGTTAGTATAATTTCTGTCTAGCTTGATCTGATATATCTTTTTATCGGTGCCTGCCTACTACTGCTGATGCATTATCAAATAGTATGATAGTTTTTTATATTTATACTTTGAATAGTGCTTGGATATTTTCATTTATATTATTTGTCATAAATATGTATGTTTTTATATTGTACTTAAACCTAAATTACCAAATACTGAACACATTTCTCTTATTCTTCAGTGCTATAAGTTTTCTGAAGGAGCAAGAGGCTGCCTTGGGTGCTCCTCAAGTCCTGCTGTCGCCCAAGTACTCTCCATCAGGAACAGATCTCACTGTGACATCAGGACTCTGTATAATCACAGTACTGACTCCTGGCTGGCTGGCAATGTCAGCTGAGGTAACAGAACAAGCTAGAAGCTGATAAGCAAGGGAGTGAACTGTTCATATGGAGACCAAGCACTGGGTGGGACTTGTACAGACATAAACACTTCCTTTCCTTTAGTCTCATGTATGTCCTATGCCCATGCTGTCTCTGAAGCTTTACTATTGCTCAAAGTATGGAAGGGGAGCTGAGAAACGCTAGTTTATAATGTAGAACAGGAGGATGATCTCAAGTGTAACTTTACGTTGGCTCTTTTTTATCACATACAACATTCAGAAACAAATATAAACCGCCTTTGACTTCCTCAGTGTAACATTCCAGAAGCACACCAGCCAAGTCCATTACTTAAAATCCAAAGTGACTTTATAGAGCATGACTCAAATTTTCTCAGATTATAGCCCCTCCCCAGAGTCATTCTTAAGCAGCAGTTAGCAAAGTGTCGGTCAACTGATGAGTGCTTGGCACAGAAGGGGCTGTAGGACGTGGAACGACAAGCCATGTTCCTTACATTTCTCTAGAGAGAAAGTCCCAGGTACAGAGAGTGTCATTAAAACAGCAACCGTGAGAAAAGAATATGAGGGACCTAACAGTACAGGACAAGAATGTGGGCTGAGTACAAGGACTCTACAAATTCCAACTCCTTTGTCAAGGAGAAGTGGTAGAACTTCATTTTGGATGCAGAGGTGATGCTAACTTGGGACAGACAAGTAGAAGATGAACTGCTCAGCTAATTATTTAGTTCTGCATCTCAGGGCTAATATATCTGACAGTGAGATAATAATAATAAAAAATAGGGTTTGAAGCTTGAAAGGAAAAAACTAGTCAATTAAGTGATAGAAAGGTCCATCCTGATAGATTTTTCCGCCTCTCTGCATTCACTGTCTGAAATGCCAGGGAACAGTGGTATGCTATTCCTTTTTGTTTTCACCTTACCATCTCTTCCTGATGTTTGGAAAACCCAGGATGTGCATTTTGTCCAACTGGGAAGTAGTGAGATGTCTGACTAAATGAAATTTCTTATCTCCTGTTCTTCATGTTCTAAAGCCACGGGAAGAGTCGGGGAGCTCTTGTGGCCAGGCAGGATTCTCTGCCAAGAATCACATGTGTGGTAAAAGAGACGCTGTTGGGAAAAGAAGGACCTCACTTTTCCACTAAGTACAATATGGATTTTTTTCTTGTTTCTTCTTGTTCCGGGTTTTTGCTTTGTTTTGTTTTATATTTGAGGCAAGGTTTAGTCAAGAATGGCAATGAGATCTTGATCTTCTGGCCTCCACCTCTCTAGTGCAGGTGCGCACCACAACCGACCACTAGTTGAACCTGTACTCCTGTAGTTAGTGTCCTGCTGATTCACTTTCTAATATTTAATCCCCTACATTTGCAAGTGTAAAATGGCATGCTAGTGAGAGTAATTATCGTCCTTAGTGGGACCTCATTAACCTAAGTCCTGAGGCTCTTTCCTTACTAAGGGTCTACAGAAGCCAGGAAAGTCTTATCCTTTGAAAAGGTCAAAAGAAATCCTGGCCTTTATTAGGAATAAGAGACCCTGGGGAAGGAGTTTTTCTACTCAGAGTTATAGAAGGTAAAAGCTACTAGGTTTAATAACTAGCAAGGTCAGTTCTCTACACAGTTTGTACACAGAGGCATACTTAGGATGAATTTTCATGATATGACTATTAATAAAACCAGATATGCTCCACGTGTAGTGGAGTTCCCTGAGAGGGACCAGCGCTCTGCTTAATGGCACCTTAAGGTGGACACTGTTTGGAGGAAAACAGATTCAATTAACAAGCACAATCCTTTGTGATGCAAAATGTTGTGTCAAGGACCATTCATTCCCAAAATAGTCTTCCAGAAAGGAAAGAAATGAAACATGTGGTGGCTGAACTGTACATAAAAACTTAACAAAACAGTGTAGCGAAGTGATACAAAGTAAATGCTAAGGTCCTTGTTGCAGATGAAGAGAGGTTAGGTGAAGTCACTGAGAACCAAGAGTACTTCAGGGACTATACATTTATCCACAGGCAATTCTAAGGTTGTTGTGCATAATCTCATATAAAGAAATAGCCAAAGATACTGAACAGGTACAGAAACGAGACACCTTTAACTATATGTCTCCAACTCTTTAAAAGTCAACCAGACGAGATCGGGCAGGAGCATGGAAGCACAATTCTTAGTTAAGGGAGCCACCTTAGGGCTGGCAAGAGACTTGAACCTAGAGTGGCTCCCAGGAGCCCAAGGCGATGTCCCCAGTTAGTTCCTTGGGCAGCTGAGGATAGGGAACCTGAAATGACCCTATCCTATAGCAATACTGAGGAATATCTTGCATATCACCATAGAAACTTCATCTGGTGATGGATGGAGATAGAGACAGAGACCCACACTGGAGCACTGGACTGAGCTCCCAAGGTCCCAATGAGGAGCAGAAGGAGGGAGAACATGAGCAAGGAAGACAGGACCACGAGGGGTGCACCCTCCCACTGAGAAAGTGGGGCTGATCTATTGGGAGCTCACCAAGGCCAGCTGGACTATGTCTGAAAAAGCATGGGATAAAACTGGACTCTCTGAACATGGCGAACAATGAGGGCTGATGAGAAGCCAAGGACAATGGCATGGGGTTTTGATCCTACTTCATGTTCAGGCTTTGTGGGAGCCTAGCCAGTTTGGATGTTCACTTTCCTAGACATGGACGGAGGGGGGAGGACCTTGGACTTTCCATAGGGCAGGGAACCCTGACTGCTCTTTGGACTGGAGAGGGAGGAGGAGAGGAGTGGGGGGAGGGGGAGAAGGGTGGGAGAAGGGGGAGGGAAATGGGAGGCTGGGAGGAGGGGGAAACTTTTTTTTTCCTTTTCTCAATAAAAAAAAAATAAAAGTCAACCAGAGCCGAGCAAAAAACGACAAGGCAGTAGCTAATTCTAAGACTATATTATATTAGTAAATAGATCTAAGATATTTTAACCAGATTTTTTTCAACTACAAAGTCAGAGATCTTATTTAAAGTGCAAAAGCAAGCCCAAAACTTTCATTCTAATATTATTTTCTCATTATGCTACTGTCGCTCTGAGCCAATTAAGACTCCTCAGACAGTTAGCACAGTGATGGAATGAATACAGACATTTCATGCTTTCTCCTTCTGCAGTAGAGGCTTTGATGATCCAAAGATGTTTTTAAGAGACATCTGCAGAAAATACTGGTTAGTCTGAGTGCCAGTAGAAAAGGCTGAGAAGATCATTATCTCTAAGCAGAGACCACCATCTTGCCATGCCAACATCCTCTTAGAAAACAAAGCAAGGGGAAAAGCCAGTTCTTATTCAATATATAAATGAAGTCAGTGCTACCAGAAAAATGTCTTCTGAATTATGTCTCAGATGGTAATTAGATAAAATCTCTAGGAATCCTGATATTTCACTGGTAAGTTTCAAGGGACTATGGAGTCCAATTAAATTCATCAAAAGGTTCAGTGAAAACCTGCTCTTCACTCAAATTATGTAAACACGAGCCAAAGCTACTTGGTGTGCACTGTAAAGAAAACTCCATTAGAGAAAAGTAAAATATGAGTGTAAATATTTATATCAGAATTAATGATAATTAGCATTAAACATTTATAGGGCAATTAATTACTACTATATACTGGTATTCTAAGACATTTACATATATTATCTCCTATAAATAAAAAGGTGGTATATCAAACTGACTTTATTTATAAGCAAGAACACCTATGGTTTAAAAAGTTTAGCAATTTGCCTATGGTCACACCCAGACTGGGATACAGGGTAAGTCTACTTATTGAGGTTTCAAAGGCGATCTGTGAATTTAGTTGTTGTACGGAACAGGTTAATGCTACAGAATACTCTTAATACTAACAAGGAGAAGCCTTAAGAAAGCAAGACAGATAAATAAAGTAGACTTTTATGCTTTTAAGCGGGCACATACATAAAGATAAAGAAAATAGAAATTTTAAAATTTGTGTGAAAAAATGTGTTGTGTGGGAAAAATTTATTTAAAATACAAATGAAAATGAATAATCAGGAAAGGATCACTATAGAGGAAATCAAAGGATATAGAATATAATAGAGTGATTAAAAATTGTGAGGAAAGGAGATATTGAAATGAAAGTCAAAATCAGGTCTTAAAGAAGACACTGAAAGAAGAATACTGTAATTGGATGTTTTTGTCCTGACTGCCTGCTCCTAAATACCCAACAGCTGCTTCCCAAATTACCACACAGAGGATTATATTAATTATAAATGCTTGGCCAATAGTTTAGGCTTTTTAATAACTAGTTCTTACACTTAAATTAACCCATAATTCTTATCTACATTCTGCCCTGCGACTTGTTATCTCTTCTCAGTATGGTATTCTCATCTTGCTTCTCTGAATTTGCCAGTGACTCTCTGACTCTGTCCTTCCTTTTTCCAGAATTCTCCTAGTCTGCCTCTTTTGTTTAATCTCTTCCTGCCCAGCTATTGGCCAATCAGCTTTTTATTAGCAAATGAAAATAACACACGTTCATAGTGTAGAAAAACTGTCCCAGAGCAGAATATTATAACATAAACCAAGAGAGTAATTTCTTTCTGAAACATACACAAGTGGGGTGACCCTCCTCCCCATGGCATAGCACAACACAGGTCTAATCCTTGGAAAGGCTCCCTTCTGCTCCTCACTCTGAACCTTCACCATTAGAATACCCTGGTTCCCAGGCTCTCTTGGACAGTTTGCTAGTTTTCTTTCTACTGATTCTACTGTTTGCCAACAACTCCTCATGTGTTTTCATCTAACCTTAAATGTCATATTCACAAACCAATTCTTATGTATGATTCCCACCTCTTAGTTATTTTTAAGAGAGTTCATCTACATTTCTATCCACATCAGTCCAACACTATAGAGTAGAGGAATCTTCACAGGGAACGGTCACCTTATACAGACAAAGCTCAATTCTTGCCTGTGCCATAGAGTAATTAGGCGGGGACACAGGTTCAAATGGTCCTATTATGTGTGTACAGGATTATCAATAGGAAGGCTTATGTTTAGCATTTGAAAACCTTCATTGCTGGGTGTTTTATATATTTTACCTGGTTTCAGAAAACAACAAACCCTAGCCAACAACCGTCCCCAATGACAACAACAAAAAAAGCCTACATCAAACAAACCCAGAGCAGTGGAGTTACTGTATTAATAACAATCCCTCAGAAATAAGTATGCATACTGGAAAGCTAGTCATAGTAAAAAAAGTGCTGTCAAATGTCACACTCTTATAACAAACTAAAAAACTGTATTTTCTCTTGTTCATAGACATCACATTTGTATCTATATAGGCTATGACCTTTGAATACAATTTCATGTGCTGATACACAGAAAAGTTATATTAATTTTCCCTTTATATTTCTTTACTGTTAACTAAATAAAGTTGAGAACTCAATGATGACTTTTGCTAGCCTTTATATTTTTACAAAACCAGAGAGGCATTCTGATTTCATATTTTTGGATTCTTTTTTTTTTATTCTTGATTTAACTTTACTGTATATATCAGGAAAATTCTCCCATTTCTTTTAGATTTTCTGCAATTTTGCGGAGTATAAGTTTTTAAGTATGTTTTTATGATTCTCTGGATCCCCTTTCTGTCTGTTTCTATGTCTACCTCTGTACTTCTAAATTGCTTAATTTGGATCTTTTCTCACAACACAGATAAGAATCAATAGCTGGTATTATTAGCCCTAATGAACCACTAAAAGAGTTTAAATGAAAGCATCAAGATTACTATAAATGTCTCACCTGTATGGATAGCCGTGATACTTTGAACGGAATATTGAAAGTAGGAAACTGAAGAAGAAGACCACCAGGCCTAATCCCACGAGGCATATTACTAGGAAGACAGACAACACCGTTAGGGGCTGAAAACATGCAAGTGGTGCTTTTGAAATGCATCCAGTATACAAATACTTACATGTCACAGTTCAGGCTCACACAAGGACCACAAATCAGACCGTTCACTATACAAACACTTACATGTCACAGTTCAGGCACACACTAGGACCACAAATCAGACCGTTCACTATACAAACACTTACATGTCACAGTTCAGGCACACACAAGGACCACAAATCAGACCGTTCCCTATACAAACACTTACATGTCACAGTTCAGGCACACACTAGGACCACAAATCAGACCGTTCACTATACAAACACTTACATGTCACAGTTCAGGCACACACTAGGACCACAAATCAGACCGTTCACTATACAAACACTTACATGTCACAGTTCAGGCACACACAAGGACCACAAATCAGACCGTTCCCTATACAAACACTTACATGTCACAGTTCAGGCACACACTAGGACCACAAATCAGACCGTTCACTATACAAACACTTACATGTCACAGTTCAGGCACACACTAGGACCACAAATCAGACCGTTCACTGTACAAACACTTACATGTCACAGTTCAGGCACACACAAGGACCACAAATCAGACCGTTCCCTATACAATGTATTCATTACTTTCCACAATCTTCTCAATGAGAATGTACTATTTGGGGGTATGAAGACAACAACGCTGACTTAAGACTAGTGGTTATTTTCTTCTCTTATAAAGTCCCAGAGGGATCAGAACAGAACCAAATGTGACAAGTCACAAACATGATTGTCAGTCCCCAGATAATGAAGTCTGGCTACAGCAGAAGGAGCAGATGATGGCAGATGCTCAGAAAATCCTCTTCTCAGATGTGCGTCACACAAAAATGTAATTCCAGCTCTTGGTTTCATGATTGCCCAAGTAGAGCCCATTTTATTTAGAAACACGACATCTCAGCAAACACAAAGCTATGAACAAAATCCTGTGCATAGGGAACTTGTTAGTGAAAGCCAACGAGGAGGAGACCACTCCAGAGTAGGTCTCGGTGTCAGACTGTTATAGGAGGGCTGAGGCTACCTGTGGCCTGGGCTGCAGTGCAGGCTTTGAACACTGCTGCAGTAAGTAATGAAACTGGAGAGCAGGGACATTGCTTTCTTAGTTTTCATTTTCTTTTCTTATGATTGGGAATAGATGACTAATAAAACAAATTAGCTCCTCTTTTCTTATACATACGGTATTTAAGCAAGATTCACTGCTATTAGTAAAATTAAAACCTGCTTCTAAAGTTTAAAATATATTAGTCATTTAAATGTAGACACACTTAGAATAAATAAATCATATTTACATATGTCCATAAAATTAGGCATTGGTGTTACTTAAATATCAGTTATGAATAAAACATTTTTAAGATAATTAATATAGATTTGTTAGTCTGAGGGAATATCAAGAGAGTGGCATAATTAGATTAAAACATTAAGTCAGAAGAACGCTGCGGTCAAACAGATCTCTGTTTCTAAGGTGGGGTAGGAGCGGGAGGAAAGGCCCGACAGCAATGCTGAAATCACGGCAGTGAATGCACTGCCTGTGGACACACAGTCACTGATGGGCGGTTGTCTGCACGGTTTTGTCAGGCATGTCAACCGCTGTCTACAGCTGAAACTATAAAACATCATCCTGCAAAGGAAAATGCCTTTCAAAAAATATATATAATCCACAAATATGAATCCTAGCAGACCCAGGATATATACTACGTAAATTTCTTACAACTCTCTCACTGGCTTAGTTTTATTTCATACCTCCTCAAATACAGTATTCTACCACATACTTTTTCTTTCATACTTTCTTAGGGGACCATTTAGAAGAGGAACAGAGCAATGGAGAAGGATGCTTCAAATCTGTGATCAAGCAAAGCTGATGGACTAACGTCACTCTATGCAGTGAGAGCAAAATACTGCTAGCCTAGTATCTGAGGATGGGATTGGAGAAGCCTGTGAGCTAACAGCAGGGGAGGAAGACCTCAATGAGGCCCACACTCTTGCACAGGGAAGAATGATAACCACAGCAGTTGTGCAGGTCAAAACCATCTCTTGTTCCTTTTCACATGTATCCTATCCCTTCCCATTCACACACAAAATTAATCTGGAGGATTAATTAAGGGGAACAGATGTTACAACAGGAACATCTATAAGATGGAAGTTCAGGGCAAAGCTTTCATAGATTCTGTATCATAGTTGTGAGATTAAATAATTCATTACATATCTCTTACTATAATTTACATTGGAGGAAATAACACTAATATACTCTATATTAAGCATATGGGTTCATAAAAATGCCTTGTCAGTGCCAAGAACATTTGTTTATAAGGATGTGCCACATTATTGATGTCACCATGCTCACAGCAATGTGCTCAGTTCTGAGGTTTTTTTCTATTAGTGTCGATAGCATCAGAGAACATTGAGGCCAGGCTCAACTCTCTACACTACCTCCAAACATTTCAATACTTCATGCTTTTAAATTTCTAGAAGTCACCACAGCTCTTTTACATACTCATAATATTAAAAGTACAGTAAAAAACAAATCTAGGTTTTTAGTTTTAATAAATTAATATTCTTTTGGGGATCATGTGCTTTTTATATCTAAATTTTACGTTTTAAAACAGCTCAGGAATTATACAGTAAAATGGGTTGCTGCAAACCATGGCGGTATTCATTGAATGATGTGCTGTAGGAAGCTATAACATTAAGTCTGGAAAACTCGGTGGCATGAAACTGTACCCAAGCCTCACTCTTTCCTCACGCCTTCTCAGGGCAGCAGATACTCCTACATACTCTGCTGTGTTTACAACATCACCCATCAAATCAAGAGGTAAATTCTATCTACAATCCTTTGATATGGAACAGTCCCATCAAAGGATAAAAGTTAACTCCCTTAAACCTAAATGCTGGCATCTAACAGGGTTGTAAATCTGGGGGTGGAGAGGAATAGGAGATAAGCAAAGACCCAGGAACCGGCAATTCTTCCCTTTCCTGGAACAGAGATCCCTGTGGTCTCATAAATGTCAGTAAAAGACATGGAGGGATTGGAAAGTAATCAAGTATCTGTGCACAAAGGAAGCCTCAGCAGCAGCTCCCCGCTTCTGCACCAGCTTCAGTGAGATACCTGAGTCTCATGACATAAAAATACATTACTGCCAATAAAATCTCTGCAGACTGACCATCTGTGCCTTGAGGATGTTCCAACTGAGACCGGCTGTAGCAGAAATGGGCCAGACAGCGCTGAAAGAGTGTTGCTCCCTCCCTCCCTCCCCTGTGCATACAACTCACAGAAAGCTGTCACGTGCCATCCTGAAGAAATGTTTTCAAGTTCATTCTCACATACATCAAATAAAGGGGGAAAAAAGTAAAACAAAATCTTAACCTCCTTCAACATAGAACTCTTCCAAGGGAGGTCTATGTTTACAAAAAGCTGTTCTGTTCCCCCTTTGAATTAAAGACTAAAACAAAACAACAAATACAGCAACATAAACTTACTCCGTCTTTTTCCGACATCCCCTTTGGAAGTTGCTGCTTCATTTAGAAGAACCATCCCCATGGTGATAGCAGCATCTACAGTAGTTGTCAAGGAAACCATAGACAGGTGCGAATAAAATCTGCTATTCTTTTTTCCTGGATCTGAATATAATGTTCCGGAATGGTTAAAGGACAAATGTGAACAGGTGAATGCCAATCAATTCTTTGCATATTAAACTTACCAATCTTGGAGTTTGCTTTGACTTTTAAGACTTTCATTAACACATATGAATTACAGTTTTTAAAACCAGTTATAAAATTTCATATCTTACATAAAAATACGTGCTACTTTTAGTACAGTGAAATACACTGCTGGCAAGTCTAGAAGAATGTATTCATCAGGAATTCTGTTTAATTCTTCTCATTGTCATAGCATGCCTCTGCACATGTATATAGTTCTAGAATTTTAAAAGTATTACTTAGAGATTCTTTAACTGTTTAGAGAAATACCTAGCTCAGATACCAATGACAAGACTTATACAATCAAGCCAGAATATTATGATACAATCTGACCACCTGAAAAAGACATTTTAAGAATGGAAAACAACCGTGCTGTTGATATTCATACTCATTGTCAACTTGACTAGATTTAGAATCACCAAATAGCCATAGCCCACACATACTTGGGAGGGTGTTCTTCTGAGGTCTTTTGGGCAACAGAAGACCTACTCTGACTGTGAGCAACACCATCCTATGAGCCACGATCCCAAACAGAATAAAAAGAAACGAGGAAGGAAGCTAGCCAAACAGCAGAATTCCCTGCCCCACTTCTGGACTGCAGGTGCAGTGCGGCCATGCCCTCTTCGTCATAAGGAGCTCTATCCCTCCAAAAGTGAGTTAAAATCATCCCTCTTTAAGTAGCTTTCATCGGTTATTTCATCACAGCTACAAGAAAGAGGAGACTCCTCACCTACTTACTGTGTGCTTATAACTGACGATTTACTCAGACATGCTCACAGAAGCCAGGAGCTAAAGTGACGGGATCAATCACCTTCACAAAATAATCTTGTCAGACTATCAAAACACTTTTGATATTATCTACTGCTAAGATTATAGAACTTATCAGTGCTGGAAACATAGTATGTATCTGTTCAAACGACTAATGAATTGTAAAAAGTTAGAGAAAAATAAAAAGAATTCTGGTTCGGAATGTCATCCATCTCCTTGACTATGACTTCCTTGTCTTCCTTTCTCCTGTGATGTAGAGGAAATAGCCAGTTATACTATTTGTGTCTGAGTTTGTGCCAGACATCATTACCCAGTGTCTGGATGTAATATTCAACTCTTCAAGTTATTTTTTATGTTTCACTGAACTCTCCATGTAAATGATTTTCAAACTATTCTAATTACTATAGCACTGAAACCTTTTCTGGAAAAATAAACTAGGCAAATCTTTGTTAGAGGCTGAACATGACCAGAGTTGCATCCCCAGTCCTGTGTGGTGCTGTCTGTCCATCCTACACAGTCGGACAGTGCATGCTCCCACTAAGCTTTCAAGGGAGCCTTAGCACAGAGGCGTGAGTCCACGGGAGCTTGAAGGTCAGAGGAGTCCTGGCTGTTAGTCACATAGCTCTGATTTTCTTATGACAACTGTCCTGAGAGTTAATGTGACAGTAAATACAGACTGCAACAATTCATTATTTCTAAAATGTTTTGGACAATCTGCCTGTATGAATTCCTCACAGTCTGCTATCACAGAGTGCTAATAACACATAATGGAAAAATGAATTAAAACGTGTCATTTTTGTTCAGAGACGAAACTACTAGTACTCAGCTCTACCTTTTGTTGTAATTACATTAAAAATACTCTTGTGACAAATGAGTATGACTGATGTTGATCTTTAAGGGAGTTTTACTTCAATTTTAATTTTTTCATAATACTTATACTCATATATAAATTATGACTTAAACATTCACATATACACATTTGATAAGTGATAGTTCATACAGAATTCTGAAGAATTTTAACCAAAATAAAATTTTGCGAATATTAAAAATGTAGTTAAAATTTGTAGTATTCTATAGGTACTAAAACCAAAGCCAATATTCATTTCACAGTTATAGCTGATAAATAGCTATCTCAAATCTATCAATAAAATTGTGGATAAGGTGGTACAAACTAAATCTTCAAAACTAAAACCATGGCAATTTTAATGAACATAAAGCTATATGTAAAAATAGTTCCAGGGTCAAATGATATATAGACCACACAAATGTCTACTGTGTTTATGAACACGCACACAGACACAGACTGGTAATCATGGTGTAGAGTGTATCTCAGTGGTGCAAGGCAGTGCAGGCCTAGCTGATCAGAAAGACTGTGTCTCAAGGGAAGAGAGCAACAGCACTTGCCTACTATGCACAAGCCCTTGGTTCATTCTTCAGTGAGAGAAAAAACCAGTATGTTAATTCGATGAGTTTTCATTTTATTTTTCTGAGCTTTCCACTGTTGAACACTGAACTGCACATCTCATCTGAAATGCTTTAGAATTTCTTGCAAATTTAAAATATCCTGATAGAAGGTTCTAAGATTATTTTGTAACAGTATAAAATATTTTATTGTTTTCTCTTACTTAAGGCACTGGGGCTGTTCCACCACCATACTTGCTCTTACAAATCCTGCTGCATGCAAAATTCAAGAAGTCCTTGTTTTTTACTGCTGAGTAGTACTCTAATATGTATATATTCCATACTTTCTTCATCCATTCTTCTATTGAAGGGCATCTAGGTTGTTTCCAGGTTCTGGCTATTACAAACAATGCTGCTATGAACATAGTAGAGCATATATTTTTGTTGTATGATAATAGAAAACACTATCCTGAGTGAGGTAAGCCAGACCCAAAAAGAGGAGCATGGGATGTACTCACTCATATTTGGTTTCTAGCCATAAACAAAGGGCATTGAGCCTATAATTAGTGATCCTAGAGAAGCTAAATAAGGAGAACCCAAAGAAAAACATATAGGCATCCTCCTGAATATTAACCTTCATCAGGCGATGAAAGGAGACAGAGACAGAGTCCCACATTGGAGCACCAGACTGAAATCTCAAGGTCCAAACCAGGAGCAGAAGGAGAGAGAGCATGAGCAAGGAACTCAGGACCGCAAGGGGTGCACCCACACACTGAGACAATGGGGATGTTCTATTGGGAACTCACCAAGGCCAGCTGGCCTGGGTCTGAAAAAGCCTGGGATAAAACAGGACTCGCTGAACGTAGCGGACAATGAGGACTACTGAGAACTCAAGAACAATGGCAATGGGTTTCTGATCCTACTGCACGTACTGGCTTTGTAGGAGCCTAGGCAGTTTGGTTGCTCACCTTACTAGAACTGGATGGAGGTGGGGGTTCCTTGGTCTCTCCACAGGGCAGGGAACCCTGATTGTTCTTCGGGCTGAGGAGGGAGGGGCACTTGATCAGGGGAGGGGGAGGGAAATGGGAGGCGGTGGCAGGGAAGAGACAGAAATCTTTAATAAATAAATAAATAAATAAAAATAAATAAAATCTAAAAAAAAAAATCCTGCTGCAAAGAATTATCTCCATATAGGCCTCTTTGCATGTGTGCACAGACCTCCTGCACCCAGCTGCAGTGCATTTGAGGCTAGGTATGTGTACCTTCCAACTTGTTAGTTATAATGGTCCTGTTCCGGAGTAAGGTTGAGCCTGCACTGTCCTTACCTTGCATGGAGGACTGCTGCACTGCTAATCTCAGCAAGCTGCTAAGGAAGAAGCAGTATGACCACTTGAGTCTGGGCCTCTGGGCTATGCTGATTGTTTCTGTCGTTTTTCTTCTGCCCATTTAAAGTTTCTGTATATTCCAATTAGGTATGTCTCCACTGTTTTTCTGAATGCTAGTTGAATAATGTATTATACACTGATTCTTCTAATTTATGTCTAGCATTTATTTCATCATGCAGAAGTTTCTAGTTCTAATGTGAACAAATTAATGTTGTGCTTGTTTTCTTGCTCATGAAATGAGTTTCTATCTCTAGGTCTTCCAATATTCCCTGATCGTTTCTTATCAGAACTTTAAAAGGTAAGACACACCATTGCAGGTCTTGTCCATCTCATTTTGAGGAGAGTCACAGGGGCTCTCAATGAGCACAAGGTCACATATGACTGAGACCTCAGCCCACTGCTACTAAATCATTCTCTTCCCTTGTTTACCCTATTCTGGTCCTGTGCAGTGACGTCAAGTCAGATTAGCCCCTGCCTTGAGATCGATGAACGTATTATTCCTACTACCTGCAATGCTGTGAACGTTGCTTGTGACCCCTTCCCTCGGTCTCACCAGGCTTCTCTGTTCTTATTACCCGACCAAATTCTATTGATTACGTTTGTTCTTTTACAACTCCACACATTGTTTACTCTCACCCCACTCTCTCTTATTCCTTACATAGCTCCTATATGCACATCTTTCTGTTTTGTTTTATAACCCACTGGATCATTTATGTGACCACAGGTTTGGAACCCAGTGGGGACACAAATGAAGAAAATAACAGTGTCTCTCCAAAAATCCATCAGTAGCAAACAGTTCACCAGGAGAAGAGGGCCTTATGATCCCTCCCAATCCATAACTGACCCCACCTTACTTCCTAACAAAACACATGTTCCTGGGCACCATTCAAAGCATTTCTCTGGGCATCACATCACATGTTTCCTGGCTGACATCCTCCTCTGACTTTGAATAAAGTCTTTTTCTCTCCTCACATTGAATTTGGTTCAATTTGCCTTTAGGTTAACAAAATAAAAATACTTAGGGATAACTTGTAATGTTGGGATACTAAAAACATAGAGTCAGCTACAATATACAATACATTTACATGTGGAAGACTAAGTAGTCATATAATAAAGTGACAGACGTTATTACTACTAAAGCAAGACAATTTTGTCATGCTAAATGAAAATAAAATATTGATGAACACATAATCTCACGTCTTTCCATAGAGATTCAGAGAAATGATGAGGAAGAGAAAGAATTTTTTAAAAAGCTAATTGTATCTATTCTTGGGGTAGCAAAACTGTAGATCTTTGTTTTCTTGACTGACTACAGGTTTTCTGTGTGGTATAAGATATAAAGATGTAAATAATATTGGCTATGCATCCTGCATAATGTCTGTTGCTACCACTCATCTACCTGTTGTAATACAAAAAATGGTCATAAAAGTGTGTCTGCGTTCCAATGCAGCTGTATTAAAGGACTAGCAGGCAAGATAGATTTTGGTGTGAAACCCAATCAATTTTATACAATAGGAATTTAGGACCAATCTTTTTAATTGAATTTCAAGTGTATGCCTTAGTAAACCCTTGGGCATTCAACCCCAAAGAGAGGTTAACCTGGAGGGATGACTATTTCAGGCTTTGTAAAACCCAAAGGTAAACTATAGTGTCAGCAGTCAGGGCAGCAAAGAGGCACAACTGCCTTCTTGAGTTTGTTGCGAAGGCTAATCTAGGCTTTTAATAGAACACAGCCGCCAGACTAAAATTTTCTGGTCATAATGAAGACATATGGATTTAAGAACAACAGGTATAGGACACCAAGCTATGATGTCCTCTCTACCAGAACAGTTCATAAAGAATAAGGTAGCTCTCACCCTTTTATCAGACAAACTTCTCTATCTGCAGGTGGAGACAATTATAGAAAACAATTCCTACACAAAACCACAGCTCTCATCTCAAAGGGAATTAAAGACAGTTTATTATGGAAACATTTTGGGTGACCATGGTCTAGGAACACAGATTTAGGTTATCCTAAATTCACTGTTCCAATGTGGAAGAAGTTTCATGGTTTTATACAACAAAGACAGTCATACCAAGATAACTTAAAAGCAAACACTGGGTACATCAGACTGACACAGCAAGATGGTTGGGACACTTCTATAGGATAAAGATGCTGCTCAATGACATTCTTAGCTACTGAGTGGTGAACATTATTGTTCTGCTTGGTTAATAGATTCCAAGACAGTTTTATTTACTAGTTACAAGATACTCTAACAATAAAGTGGGCAAATAATAATTCCAGAGGATTAGAACTAGTCTAAGATCAGGTAATTAGCTCTGGGCATGCAGTATTCCAATCTCTCCAGAACACCAAAGTTCCAATCCACAGATATAGCTTCTTTCCAGGATTTCCCACACAACCACAGCTGGTCAAATGCAGAGAACAGCTGAGAGTGGGGTGATCAGCCCCAGTAGACACATCTACAACAGAACTACTGCACCAAGGCTCAAAGAGTATCATAGAAGAAATGGTGGAAACACTGTTAAAAGCTGGAGGACCAGGAAGGCTGCTGAGATTGTGTCTCCTAGAAATGACAGGGAAGCTACACTCATGACACCTCAACAACATGACAGCCAAAAATGACTTGAAGAAGTATACCAACAGACACACTTAACATGGAAGGAGGAAATCTCACAGTCCCCAGCCCTAGACAAAGAACATCAGTTAACTGAGGACACTGTAGAGTGGGAGAATTAGTTGTCCTCAGGAGTAAGCTGCGAACTGTGTTATCTGATACGAAGAAACACTAAAAGGACACACACACACACACACACACACACACACACACACACACACACACAGTGAGAACTTTCACGCCCCCACCTGCTGTCTGTAGAAATTCTTTTTATACCCCAAAGCACAAGGGAAATTGGTTCAGCTTCTCCAGGCCGGGTGTTGCTTGCTCTTGCTGCTGTATCACACGGAGTGACTGCAGCACATGTCCCACTGCATTGTACTGGGAGACACTGAAGCTGACAGACAGTGAGCACTGTTAGTTCTATCACTCCATGAAGATGGAACTGAGCAACACTAAAAGAATTTTTCTGGGAGCTATATAAAGCATATGTCAGTTATTCTGGGTGTTTCAGACACACACCCTATAAAGTGTCCCCATGCCATTTATTACTTCTCATATAATTTTCCCCAAAACACGACAGAGCACTGCTTCTCCTCTCCTTTCTCCTGAGTTAACAATGCTCTAGTGAGATGAAGAACTGTGCAGTGACAGGACATATACATCCTTAACGTGTGACCAGTAGATTCATTCTACTGTCTCTTGGGCATTCAACCAAACTTTCTATAAAGAAACCTTTCTTAATGATGTGTTTTATATTAAAAAGAAACTCATAAAATTATTGTAAAATACTGTAAGACAAAATCAGTAGACTATTATTGGTAGAAATTAACATAAGAAAAATTTCAAAATGGCTCTTAAACTTTACTATTAACAAGTATAAGCTAAATTTAAAATAGTAGCCCTCCCTTTAAAGTTTTCTCTGAAGTAGGAATACACAGGACTAAGAAAGAAAAAATTGCCACAAGAATAAAGGGAATGGGGACTTTTAATTGATTTATGTACTATTGAAAAATATATATAGAAGACTTCATACTATTTACGAAATATCTTTCTGTCTTAAATCTCAGTTTGATACCAATGAACCAGGAAATGAAACCCCAGAGAACTCCTAGTTACTAAGAAGGAAGACTTCCCACTAGCTTCTCACTGCTCGGTATTCCTCGTGGTCAACAGACTTGATACTTATATGAAGCATGCTGTAAACATGCTGGACCACGGGGTGGGGGGAGAGAAGAAATGGAAAAAGTCCAAACTGTAAATAAACAACTTACCAGAAACAAATACCTAGGATTTCCTTTCATTTGCTTCAAGCTGTATACCTTGTACTTCATGAACATATGTAAATAATTAAAATATAAACTCTTAGTTTTTAATGATGAGTTGGTCACATCAACACATTCACAACTATTTCACTTTCCCACCTAAAGCCACTATGGTAAACAGCAGCAAAAAGCAATAAGCAAAAAGCTTATAAAATTATACATTACTAAGCCAATGAAAGCAATAGGCTAATTTGACATGTAATTCAATATACGGATCCAACTGTGTCATCAGCAGATGAGAAACCGTGACACAAACAGATGAAGAAGATGGTCACCATGGCTTGGTAAATTTCAGAAACACATGGTTTCAGTGCCCGGAATAATAAGCTAAACATTTAAAAATTCTTTAAATCTCATCTCAAAGCTCAGGTCAATGAAGAGTATCTTTTTTTGAACTACCCTGAAAGTGAACAACTGGAAGAGTTCCATCTCACTATGGAAGAATGGAACTATTTCAGCATTTTCCAGTATAGGCTTTATTACTGTAATGATACCAGGGGCTGTATTTTCCAAGTCATCTACACCTTTGTCATTTAGGCCAATAAAATGTATCTCAGTGTTCAGTTTGTGACTGGTAAAATTCCAAGTGGGAAAAAAATGGAGATTAAACTAGTGGGTTTTTTAATCCTATGCTTTATGTGTGCTATATCCAGTCCAAACAGAAGACAGTAATATATTTCTGTCCTACTGTATATACCAGATACACAGTTCATTCTTCTATTAAGCTCCCATTAGAGGAAAATTATTTAAACACACACACAGAGATGACACAAATACAGAGACACACAAAGACATATACAACACCTACGCAGAGATAATCAATGCTTTGAAACTTAATAGCCAGTAAATTAATAATAAATTAATATAATTATATAATCATATTTATAATCTGTAAATGATTATAATTATATAATTATATTTATAATCTGTAAATGATTCAGCATAACAGAAAATATAGTGCAACAGGAAGAAACTGCATGAGAATTAGAAAAATTAGTTTTAAAGTTAATGTATTTTAAAAGTCTAGATATTTACTGCCATAAATCAGCAATCTGTTATCTCTTCTTTACCTGCTTCAAAACCTCATACTTCAAAGGATACTCAGTACCAGAATGATGTGTGACTCTGCCACAAACTGAGCCTGGCTGCTCCCATGAATGTAGCTCTGTAAATGAAGAAAATAAGCAAAGAGTCACGAATGGGGAGACAAAAACGGATTCACAGTTCTGTCAGCCATGTAAGCCATACAGTCATCTATCAAGTTTCTACTTATAATTCTTATGAATAAATTTGAGCTAACTGTGAATAGATTGAAGTTTTAATGATATTGCTACAACTGTAGAACACAACTTGGTAGTAAGTCATCCCACATGTATGAACTTTACTCCTTAAAACGTTACCACATACACAAGCACATAAGCAATGGCTCTACTGGAGTCCTTGTAAAAACACCGGGCAGAGTAAGGTAAAGATCAAGCAAGCAAGTTTTCAACTTCTTATTGTTTAAATATTGGCCCGCAGTGTCCAGCCACTCTTGGCCACATCCTCAACATCTGGAATGAGGAGTGAGCCATAGAAAGGCACACAGGCCACTTACCCTGAAGCACTCTCTATGACCCCTTATGAAGGTCGCTGGTTTTTGAAGATGTTTTATTACTTTTAATGTTTTTAGTTAGCAAACAACACAATAGATTTTATTCTGACCATCTCATGGACATGCTGTTGTACTGTTCTTACAAGCCATTCCAAATGCCCTGCTCTGTTCTCTTCACCCCATATGAGTAGTGCTCACAAACAGTTAGTTTCCTTTTCTGGGTAATTGCTTTAAATAACAGTCCTTGTATAGGTTTCTCATGTTAAAAAACAAAAACACAGCACCTTGTAATACAAATAAGTATCCTAATTTTTTTCTATTATATATAGTACATAATTGTATTATTTGAGTTTCAAAAGGTCCCGCAATTGCTTTTGTTCAATTTTGTCTTGTGACAATAAACAAAATTCTCTGTGTTTTAATGATAAGCACACTTAACTAGGACCAGATTATACCTTCCTGGTGCTATCCTTGGATAAGTTATAAAATAAATTCAGTATTTTCTCATCAATAAAATATAGAACTCTACTACGTACCTCCTAAGGTCTTTTTAAAGTCTAAATTTTTGTCATCACTGTTGTTTTGGGTACTTTATTTAAAAATTTCCATTTTTTTTAAAAATTATTATTTATGTGTGTGTATGTGTGCACGTGCACAATGTATGTGTGTGTGTGTTTGTGTGTACACATGTCAGGGAATGCTTGTGCAAGTCAGAGAACAACTCTATGAAGCCAGGGCTTTCTTTCCACCTTAGAGTCCAGGATGCAGACTTAGATCCACAGGCATGCTCTGCAAAAGCTCTTACTTGCTGAGCCATCCTATTCTAATTCTTCCTTCATACATTGTACCCCAACTTCAGTTTCCCCTACCTCCAGTCCTCCTAGGTGCCCCATTTCCCTCCCCCTCAGACACACACCCTCTTGTTTCCCTTGAGAAAAGAGCAGTATTTCCTATCTAAATCCTTCATTTCTACCTCACATTCTAAACAGACTTACCTCCTGGACAGATGGGTTTGTAAGCACAGCCACACGAAAGTCCAAATATGAGTCTTCTAATGCACTCATGGGATGACTTCTAAACCCTGCTATTCATATTCTCTCCCAACTTTATTTAATATTCTTCCATGAAAACTACTATGACTTTAACAAAGATAATCTAACAGCTAATCAAACAGGATTCATCCTCTCTGATACATGACAAAATACATGTATTACGACTAACTCATGGTAAAATTATTTCTTAGAAAAAGCCAAGCAAATAAAATACTATAAATTATAGTTGACATCAATTCTAGGTAAAGAATCAAAGAATCCACAAAGAGTAAGATTTTATTCTTTTATTAATTTAATCATAAAGATAACAATTATATTCATAATAGTATAGTAATAGCTATAATTTATGGACTACTCATTCTGTCTAAGGTACTTAAAAGTTCTACCTGAAGCATGCAGAGGAATCTTAACAGCCCTATAATATATGGTGGTTTATTAAAGCCATCTTATAGATGAGAGGTGAAAAAATCTCCAGCTTTTCAGAAGCTTTAGGAATTGAACTTTGGTCTTTGTGAATCAAAATTTGGGCTTTTATTCTACTGTAGTACACTGTCATTTGCTGAATGTGTGAGAAGATTATATAATTTCCTACTTTAATCTTTTAACAACCAAATAAAATAGTTATTACCTGTCATCTCCCTATGATAAAATAGAACCTAGAAATTTAATTCTTTGTTCAACATTGTATAACTAGTAATTATCTACGTGATATCAATAAAGTTTTTTTTAATTAATCCTTACTTGGCAATCAGATAAGCAATTGTTGAAACTTAAAGGAATTAAAACCAGTATTTCTATAACTGCCTAAAATAACTGACTATATCGATTTAGGATAGTAAGCCCAAACCTACAGAACAGTTTCAAGGCACCATGTTTATTTTTAAATACAATAAGGAGAAATTCAGGCTTTTGTTCTGGTTGTTCTAAGGAAGAGAATCTTCTCTAATAAAGCTTCTGTTGGGGTCACTGAGGAGAAACGACCATTTCACATAGCCCTCTTGGGACCGCCTCATTGGATCGTCCTATCCTCTTTAGTGACCCCCTCATTTCTAGGTTGCCACTCTAATCTACTTCACTGGAGCCTCTTGCTTGAAGCTCATGGCAGTCCCTGCCTCCCAATACTCAGCTATCTCCAAACTCTCTGGTATCTCCGAAAACCACAGGTTTGGGCCTCTTCTGTATCTCAAGGCATTCTCACCCAAACTTCAGTGATTAAATTTGTATGCACGGCTCTCACATTTGCTTTTAGACTCATAAGATATCTATTCCACTTCTACCAATTGTCGTTAACAGATCCCACCTAGAGATCTGAAACTTAAAAAAGGGCTAAATAGAAACTTTTGATGCACCTTCATTTCTACTCCAGAATTTGCTGTTTCTCTCATTTCAGGGAACAACTTGATTTATCTAATTGTTAATGCTAAAACTTTGAAGACATCCTTGCGTCCCCCCATATATCCAACCATTCAGAAAATCTGGCCTCTACTTTTAAAGTCCTTCCCAATTCAGAATTTGTCAGCACCTACAGACCTGGCAAAGGTGCCAAAGGAGGAAGCCGAAGACTTCCTGTCAATCAGGCCATCGTCACCTTTTGCTGAGCTTGCTGCAAAGACTTCTTCACTTTGCTCAGACTGCCCTATCAGTCTGTTTGTCAGTCAGATTAATCCTGTTTAAAGCACACCAGATCCTATCATTACCTTGCTCAGCCTCGATGCATTCCAAAATGTGTGCAGCAAATCTTACCACAGAATGCACTATTTCCAGTCACAACACCAGAGACTTGTACTTATCGCCAATTTGTATGTACAACCGTAGTTCAGAGAGAGAGAGAGAGAGAGAGAGAGAGAGAGAGAGAGAGAGAGAGAGAGACCCAATACCCAACAGACTTCTGTATTTTTTCTGACAACACTTCAAAGATGTCAGTTCCAGTCAGATGGATGCGGAAAAATAGGTTGTCTTCTGATATTTAAAATCTTTGAAATTCACTTTGGTTCTTTGAGATTTTCTACCAGGAGGGCCACAGCACTGCTGACTGACCCCACAGCCTGTATGAAATGAAAGATGTTTTTCTTTATATAATAGAATTAAGTTCATAAAGTGCTTCACTTTGCTCAGACTGCCCAAACAAACAAACCAACCACCATGAACTGTGGAAGCCACATGGATTGGAGACTGAAAAGTCCCAGGAGAACAAGTATGTAAGGAGCAATTATCTTGCTTTGGTTTCAAGATAGCCACCTTCCCACTCTATGCTCACAAGAACTCCTTGGTAAACCGTCAGTTGCTTGGTAAACTGTCAGTTGTAGGGGGTGGTCTATTCTCTGCTCACAGAGCCACCAAACCTGTAAGATAAAGGTCCTCTCTTTATGACCTTCTCACTTCTACTTCCTGCAAACATGACTTCTAAATCTTGTCAACTAACTGTTGTTCATATGTCAACACATAAACCCATGTGAAGGGTGAAATTTAGAGCCCAGCATCTGCTGGTTTCATTTCAGGACACCACTCCTAACAATCATCCAGGAGAGATGTACAACAACAAGCTGGTCTGGTCTTCAAATTATTTTGTATGCTAAGTTATTCAGAATATATAAATTAATAATATTTCTTTTCAGATTCTCAGAATACTAGAGGTCAACAATGAATACTTTGGTTTTTGTAAAGACTGGACAGATAAATGATTGTTCTTAATGTTAGTCCTATTAAAGACTCTAACGGTAGAGTAAGAGTGTCCCACTGTGTCTAACTATAATCCTGCCTAAGGCAGAACAACTGAGCCTTTATGAAAAGCATGTAAACATGAAGCAAATTTGAAAGAAGAAAGGAAGAAAGATAGGAAGGTATGCAAGCACGCAGGGTCGAGGAGACATTCTGGGTCAAGAAGATCACTATGCAAAATAAGTGGAAATCCCTCACTGGAATTTTAATAAAAGGTTCCTTTATCTTGTATAGCTACATATTTCCAGGTCTATCCTTGGAGCCGTCTTTGTATTCCTCATGTTACATCAACTTCTCTAGGTAGGATTAATTTTTAGTAGGCAGCTACATTGAAGAGCAGATGAGCTATAGATAATAAAATGGCTAGGTCAAGTCCTTCTGGGTTTGTTTAAAAGAAGAGGTACAAATAGGTATTATCTACCTTCAGTATTTGATTTCCCTAGAGGTTGTTCATACCCTTTGCTTTAACCTTCTATGCATTTCATTAAATTATTGGTGCAAACTGAAAGAGAGCTAAAATATAAAATCAAAGTTCATGAAAACCGTGATAAATTTCACTCATTTGTAACTGTCAACTGTCAAGGATAGTCTCAAATCTATTGTTACCTAAAAGATTAGAGGCATTTTTTATTATTTTTACACGCTATATTACCACAGAAGTTAACCTGGCTCAGGCATACTCTCAAAGGGTTCCTTAATTGTAACATTTCCCTTGATGACTAAAAAGGAAAGTATTTCTCAAAAGAAGCCTCAAGTTGTGTGTGCATGAAATTGACCTAAGATATTTTCTTAAAAAAAGAC